GGGGTGGGGCTCGGGGGCGGGGCCGGGAACCCCCGGGGCGGGGACCAAGCAGGTGTCACCGAGTCCAGGCACACTCCAGCCGGGAAGGGTCCGGGGCGGGGCCGAGGACGGAGCGGGCCCGGCAGGACAAGACCAGGGGCTGACTCACGACCAGGTGTCGTCCCCACCCCGGCCCGGCGTCAGATGTGAGGGCGACCTCCGCAGGCTGCCCCTCCACTCACCTTCAGCCTGCTCCCTGGGGGCCCAGCGGAAAGGAGGGGGCAGTCAGACATCGAGGGGCTGCAGGGTCTCCACCACCCGCCCCGACCCCGGTGCAAGGCCGCTCACTCATATTCCTGCTCCTCGGTGTCCGACATCCTGCTGGGACCTGCGGAGACAGAGAAGGCTGAGCGCCGGGCCGCCCGGCCCTGGGGGAGCAGGCCGGGGTCACAGACGCCTCCGCCACACTTGTCAGCGAGCTGTGGCTCCGGCCCAGCGCCAGGCGCCCCGCCCCCTCGCACAGCTGTCCCGCTTTGTCCGTGACAGGTCCGTGGGAACCCGATCCTGGGGATTAGGGGCAAGGGTAGGGACAGTGGCCTGAAGACAATAGCCGCCCCACCCCGGTGCTATTTTGGGGTGATGTCATAGGCGCGGAGCAGAGGACATTTCCTAAGAAGGGAGGGCAGGGGCGTCCTCTGGAATCGCAGTCACCCCGGCCCCAGCCGCCACTGCCATCCCCACGGTTGCTTTTCCTCCCACGGCTCCCGCTGCCCACCTTTGCCCCATCTGTGGACAGGCGAGCACCCTTTACAGCGGCCTCTGTCCACAGACCGCAGCCTGAACCCTAAATACTTAGACCCCCCGATCTCTGTGACCCCGTGGTGCCCAGGTTAAGCAAACCCCAAAGCCGAGCACCCAAAGACTGTGACCACTGACGATGTCCCCATAGCTCGATTCTGAACCTTACTCAGTGACAGTCCGGGCGGGGGCCCGACATCCTCAGGCCCCAGGTCTTAGACCCCCTAAACTGCAAAAGCTCACGTTAGGAAACCCCAGTAAACCCGACACCCGAGCTTGCGCCCAGAGGCCCAATCCCTAACACCCCACGTTCTGAGCCCCTAGCTCTGATACACTCAGTCTGAGCCCCCAGATCCTAATACTCAGACTCTTTGACACCAAGACCGAGTTCTGCGACCCCCTAGACTCTGAGAGGCCTCTGCGACCCTAAACAGGCACCCCCAGATTCTGTAACCCACAAACCCTGCAGAGACCCTGGTGCTGTTACCTAGGGCTGGGTCTTCAGAGCGGGAGGGAAGTCTGTCTGGCCCCGGGGCGCTGCGCTTCCTGGACTTTATAGGGGATGCGGCCCCGCCCCGGGGGAGCGGGAGAAGGGAAGGGGGAGGGTCAGGGAGGGAATTCCTCGGCCAGCTCGGGAGGCCTAGCCCCCCGCCCAGGCTGCAGATTCCTGCCCCAAGCCCCCTCCCCACCCTGCCGGTGCCAGCCTGGAGCCGGGGCAGGCTCCCCAGGGTTGCTTGTACCACACAGCTTCCCGTGCCTGGAGCCCTGGCTGGAAAGGGTCCTTGGACAATGCTTAGTGACAAAAGGGGCACAAGGGACACGCTTCCTGTTTCCATCTCTCTGTCGCCCTTTCCTGTATCCTTCTGGCCACCATAGCTCCTTTCTCAGACCCAGCTTGGGGCGCCTTGCTACTCCTCCCCGAGGCAGCCTCCTTGGGACCCGTCTTTCTCTACCTCCGCCCCCCCACCTGCCTCTCTGCGGCCCCCTCCCCACCCCCATCCCTTTGTCTGCCACCAGATTCCACCTTGGTGACAACAGGCACTAAAGCGGGGCAGCAGGTGTGGCGGGGAGGAAGGGGGTGTCCGGTAGGCTCCCAACCCCCACCTCCATCTGACACTGCTCTTTTCCATATCCTCCTCCCCCCAGCCCAGCCTCGACCTTGAACTCTCGGACCGCAGCGCCAGAGAGCAGGGGCCCTGACCTTCGAGCCTCGCCTTCACCCACCCTGCGAGAGGCTCATTTGTGTCTGCGTTCCCGTCCTCCACCTGCCTCCTTTGCCCCTCTCTGCTGGGGGTCCCTGGGCCCTCATCTGGCACTTTTGTGCCTCCTTTGGCCTAGGTGTCTGGCTCTGTCCTCTTAGCTCTGCTGCGTTTTGCTTGTTTTTGAGAGGCCTGGCTACATTTTCCAGGCTGGCCTTGAACTCACAGCGATCCCTGTGCCTCAGCCTCCCGCGTGTGGGCATTACAGGTGTGTGACGCTTGGGGCTCCCCGGCCCTTCTGGCGGTCTGTCCCTGGCTGGGTCACTTCTCAGGGGTTTCCTTGGTCCGTGTGCTGCTTCTCTCTCCAATGTTTCCCCTTCTTCCCACATGCCGGTTCTTTCTTTTTCTTGCGCTTTGGCCTCTGCCTCAGTTTCCCCGTCTCTGCCACCCCCTCTTTTTCAACCTTGGATGCTTTGCACCATCTGCAGATGACCAGGGGCCACCCAAGCCCCGGGGCCCCACCCTTAGGCCTGAGCCCCAGGGAGAGTGCATGCAAAGGCTTCCAGCAAGGACAACTTTTATTTCTCAGGGCTCTGATCTCCAGAGGACCCTGGAGAGGGTGCTCAGCCCTCAAACTTCTTCTTCCGGCCCTCCATGCCGCTCAGGGCGTCGATGTTCTTGCGCCAGTCGCCCACCTCCCGATTCTCCTGAGGAGGAAGGTCAGAGGTCATGGTTCTTCCTGGCTCTGAGCCCGTTCACCCTCTGGCTGGCTGGGCAGCTCTGCTCTGGGCATTTGCCCAAGAAGCTAGTGCTTCTGCCCTGAAACAAGCCTGGTAATGGGGTGCCTTTGAAATGGCCCTTTGCTCCCCCTGAAGTAGTGAGGTTGGATAAAAGAAACACAGGTAGCCGGGTGTGGTAGTATACACCTGCAATCCCAGCACTTGGGAGGCTGAGGCGGGCAGATGGCAAATTTGAGCCCAGTCTGGGGAACTTAAGAGACTCAGCGAGAGATCCTGACTCAGAATAAAATAAAATAGGGCTGGGGATGCAGCTCAGTGGTAAGGCCCTGGGTTCAATCCCCTCTCCTTCAGGAAAAATATATGCTAAGTTTTACCATGTTCAGTTCTAGGCCAGCCCAGAAGTCTCCAACCCTGTAATCACCTCCTTTCTGGAAAAGCAGGGTCTTTTGGACCACCCCGTGGTGATGTCACCCTCCCAGGCAAGGACAGTCACCCGTGTGAGCAGAATGGCCCTTCGAGCCCAGGATTCCTCCCACAGTATGGAAATGAAAACCGAGGTGACCGCTGCAGGGCCCCTCAGCACATCCTCAAAGCACCGCCTTGCTGTGCGAGTGGCCAGTCTGCCCGCTGCACCAGAGCGAGGCCTGCAGACACGCGGGCTGCGTCCGCTTCTTGCTCTCCTGCCCTTGCTAACCATGCTGATGATGACCCTGCCTGGGCTTCACTCTGAGGACTCCTGAGATTCCCTTCCCATGGCGGGAGTCAAGAACCTACTTCAGGCCCCCATTGCCGCTTTGTGGGACCCCCTTAGACCTGCCCAGTGACAGTAGCCCACACACTTGTCTTCACTGCCTTCTCAAACTCCTGGAAAGGCAAGCCGCAGGCAGTTGACACAGGAGAACTAAAGCTGATCCCCAGCCCTGGCTGCAGGACCCAGGACAAGACCGTCAACCACCCCCAAGCCTGCGGTGCACACAGTACCCCCTCCTCTGCCTCACTTTAGTCCTTTCCCTGTAAAACCCCACAGAGGTCGTCTTTCCAGTATGGCCACACTGAAAGAAACCTCTTTTCTGACTCTGTGTCTATCTCTGTTTCTCTCTTTCTGCTAAATGGACTCTTGAGGGGGAGGGTGGCTGAATCTGGTTGTTGGGACCCATAGATTCAGGCCTCTGGCCTAGGTTTCCCATAACATCCTGACAATTTCCCCCATGTATTTCCTGATTCCTTCATGAATCTCTTGTCTTCTTCAAGAACTTCCTGTCTCTCTCAAGCACTTCCTGTCTCCCTTATACATTTCCTACCTTCTTTGATATTCTTCCTTTCCTATTACTCTTCCTCTTCCACTTTCTGTATCCCTCATGTATTTTCTGTCTTCTTCACACAATTCCTCTTTCCCTCATACATCCTGGCATCCCACACACACTTGTCTCTCATAGGTTCCCATCTCCCTCATGTACTTCCTGTCTCCCTCAGGTACTTCCTGTCTCCCTCACATACTTCCTGTCTCCCTCAGGTACTTCCTGTCTCCCCCATATACTTCCTGTCTCCCTCACATACTTTCTGTCTCCCTCAGGTACTTCCTGTCTCCCTCATGTACTTCCTGTCTCCCTCATATACTTCCTGTCTCCCTCACGTACTTCCTGTCTGTCTCCCTCACATATTTCTCTTCACTATATAATCTTATGTTTCCCTTCTTGCTTCCCTCATGTACTTTGCTTCTCCATCATGGACTTCCTGTAGCCCTTAGGTTTCTCCAGGCTCCTTGCTTCTTTATCCCTCCCTAAGGCACTGTCTCCCTTAGTCTTTTTTGTTTTTGAGATAGGGTCTCACTATGTAATTCAGGTTGGCCTTGAACTCACTACGTAGCCCACACTGGCCTCAAACCTATGGTGATCCTCCTGCCTCAGCCTCCCGAGTGCTGGAATTACTGGTGTGTGCCACCACACCCGGCTTCCCCAGTCTTTTTAAATAAAGGTGCTGGGAATTAAACCCAGGGCCTCACACATGCTAGACAAACACTGTACCTCTGAGCTGTATGTCCTGCCTGTCTCTCCCTCTCATTTCTTGTCTTCCTCTATCATCTATTTCCCATAATTCTCACTGAGGACCCTGTCCCAGCACCCCTAAACATGAGCTGCCGCAGGCTAGGCCCTAAGCTCACGTCCCCCTCAAGCCTCTCCTGAGCACCCCACTTCCTGGCCCTGCCCCACACTCACCTTCTCGGTGTCCTCCTTCTTCACCTGCTTGAGGTGGGCCCGTAGGTCCAAGGTCTCCTTGGCCCGGGTTCCCAGCAGGGCCTGCATCATGGCGTCCGCGGAGATGCGCACCCTCCGCAGGGTGGGCCGCTTAAACTTGCCGCGGAGGTCGAAGATCTTCTGGGTCAGGTCTGCGATCTGGGGGCGGCCGCATGGGCAGTGGGCACCGCCCCCTCCCCTTGGGCCGCTTCCAGCTCCCTGCCCTCCATACCTAGCCTGGCGCCCTCTTCCCCCGGCTCAGGCTGTGCAAGGCCTCGGCCCTGAAGCCCCTGATGAGCCCAGCCTTCTCTCATCGCCTCCGACCCCGTGCTCCCCGGAGCTCCAGCGCCTGGGCCGCAGTGTGTGCCTCCCTCCATGGGAAACCGCACTCCCCACCCGGGTCAAACGCATCCTGCTGCCCCACCCGCTCAGACGGTGCCCTGGGGCTCCTGTGCTCCGAACCCGGCCAGCACCGCGCACTGTGAGGGCGCCCAGCACCCAGGGCTCCCACCTCCGTGACGTTCTTGGTCACTTTGGCCTCTACGTCGTATCTCTCTTCATCCACCTTGTCCACCCGGGTGTGGAGCTGTCGGCATAAGTCCTGGCGGAGGAACCCAGCGTGCACTGTAGGGAAGGGCTGGGCCCGGACCCCGGGTCTGAGCCGAGAGGGCTGAGGCGCTAAGATCCGGGCCTGAACGAGTGGACGCGAGCGTGGACTCCAGAGAACAGCGCGGAAGGGTGGGCGGAAGCCAGGGGTCCTGAACTCTGGCAGATCTGGGCCTGGAGGACCTGAGCCCGGGTCCGAGGCGTGGTGGCTACCACGGGAGAGGGGCACAGGGCTGGTGCTCGCGAGCCCGAGCGAGGCGAGGACGCAGACTGGCACGGGCCCCGGGCTGGGCAGGGCCGCCTGTGTCGGTACCTGCAGCTCCGCGGAGCCCAGTCCGGCCAGCTCCAAGGGCTGGCACCGGGTGCCCAGCACGCGCCCCTTCTCTCCGCGCCGCTCCTCCGCCTCGCGCTCCAGCTCCTGCTTCGCTATCTGCAGCATCAGGGTCTGCAGGGTGGTGGGAGGTGCCGAGCCCCGGGGTCCGGTATAAAGCCTCGTCCTCGGAGACCGGACCCTGGGGTTGGACCGCCTCAGGCCAAAGCTCCGCTCCGCCCTTATAGGGGTGCCCTGCGCAAAGCCCCGCCCAGACCACGCCTGCCTCACGAAAGCTCCGCCCCCAGCTCATCCTCACCTTCAGCTGCAGCTTTCTGGAAGCGGAGATCTTAGACTTTTTCTGCAGAGATGCATGGAGAAAGAAAGGATCAAGGAGGAGTATCCGAAAGTGAGCAGTTGGAAGGACTTCAAAGGAACTCCTACCCCTGGGACGGCTTTCAACTTGGCCTCTGAGTCCAGGAAAAGCCACGCCCCTCATCCCACCCACCAATCGCGGGCCCTGACTCTACCTAGGCACGGCCCACCATCCCCTAAGCAACCGTGGGAACAACGGAGCTCCGCCTACAGGCAGCTCTCACCAATCAGAACCTGGCCCTTTCTGAAGCCCCGCCCCACCTAAGCCCCGGCCGGGCCCCCGCCCTTGGCCAGACCTTGGCGTGCGGTTCCGTGGCGTAGGCGCGATAGTTGGCCGAGGAGCGGCGTCGTACTGGGGCCGGCGCGGGGCGTGGCTCCCCCGCCTGGGGAGAAGCAGCGGCCGCGTCACCACTGAGACCCTGTCCTCCCCAGTGGCCTCTCTTGGGCTGCAGCCTCGGCCCACCCTTCCCTGCCGCGCCATCCCACCCCGGCCCTGGGGTCCCAGCCCGTGCCGCTGCCCAGTCTCACCGCAGCGCTGCTCCTGCAGGGAGAGAAATCGGGGAGAGATCATTACTGGGGGCCTGTGTCCTTTCTGTCCCGAGGGACTAGAGGATAGGTCATCAGCTGCCCCTGCTAAAGTCCCAGGAGTCTGATCCCGCATTCTTTATATTTTATTTCGAGACAGCGTCTCTGTAAGTCAAGTTGCCCAGGCTGGGCTCAAACTTGGGATCCTCCTGCCTCAGCCTCTCAAGACCGATCTGATACCCAAATTCTTACTTCATTTCCACCTAGGATCCCTTTACTACCTCCATCTTCGGGCCAAGTATCCAGACTCACAGCTCCCACCCTCTGGGTAACCCTGGAGATCGTCACCACCAACACCCTCTCTGGGCCTCAGATATCCGGGTCACCAAGATGCACTCACACATCCGCCATAGGAGAGATGGGCTGGGATGTAGGAGACAGCGGACAGGGGCTCCTGGAGGTCGGTGAGGGGCGCGGGGTGACCTTGGAGGTCTCCGGCCCTTCGGTTTCCACTGTGCTGCTCTGGCCTCACTAGGACACTGAGATAAAGGGCAAGGACAGGGACTAAATATACTGCTGCCCCCTCCTCCCGCACCCCACGGAGATAACGGGGCGTGAGGGGCGGGGCGGCTGCGCTGCCAGGATCACCCGGTCACCTTGGCGTTCCGGGATCGGACTCTTCCCCACTCTGGCCTGCAGGGCTGGTCCCATCGGCATGCGAACTCGGAAACAGGCCGGGCACCCAGGGCCCGCCTCCCTCAGACCCAGGGTCCGGGTCGGGCCTCCTCCCTTGGGGGCTTCCTACCCCTTTGCTAATTCTAATTCTGCATGAGGGTTAGAACTTTATCTTTTTCACTGCGTTGGATCAGCTTCTGCACCCAAATATATGAGCTGCTGGATGCATATTATTATTTATATTTAATTTAGGTTTTTTTAAGACAGGGTCTCCCTAGGTAGTTCAGGCTGGCCTTGAACTCACTAGGTTATTTGTGTTTTGGTACTGGGAATCGAACTCACGACCTTGCGCTTGTTAGGCAGGCGCCCGACCTCTGAGCTATATCCCCGGCTCCCGTCAATGGGTAGCCCAGCCTGGCCTCGAACTCTACACAGCAGTCTTGCCTCTGCGTCTGGCCACCACACCAGGCTATTTATTGCACGTTATTTAAGCTGAGGCTCCAGGTTCGGGACAGCGTCGGGACAGCCACCCAGAGCCCGTTTGCAAACCTAGAAGTCTGTTTCCGCCTCCGGGGCCCTCCCACCCCCAGAGCTGGCGCCCAGCAAGGACAGAGGACACGGGAACACGCGACACAAAGAGGGAGACACAGAACTCTTTACTGAGCTGCGTGGGCGCCGCCCCAGTCCCAGCTGGGAGGGGGGGCCGGAGGCTGGGTGGGGCTGGGGGCTGGGCGCATCTGCAGTCTGGGATGCCGGGGCGGGGCCGGGGAGGTGTGGGGTGTCTGAGGTTGAGAGACACCGTCGGGGCCTGGGACTCGCAGTCAGAACCCCAGCAGGGAGCGGGAAGACCCCGCTCTGCAGTGATTTGGGGCTGAGCGCAAGGCTGAGCAGGAACCGAGAGACGCCGGAAGTGGTCAGAGTCCCTCGGGGGGCTCCTGATCCCCGGAGCCCCCGTTAGAAGTCCGAGAGGGGCTCTGGGGCTCGGGGCGGGTTCCCACCCTGGCGTGGGAGGCCGGCTCGCTGTGGGCGCGGTCAGGTCTTGGGGAGGGGGCTGCAGCATCCGGGGAGGGGCTCCCGCCCCCGAGACTGGGGGCGCCAAGGGAGGGGCTCTGAGGCTGGTGTTCGGACCCCGCGGGCCTCGGCTTGGTGAAGCGCGCGAAGGTCTCCGCGGGCCCGGCCGGGGCGCGCGGGGTGAAGCCGGCCGCTCCCGCCAGCTCCCCGACGCGCGCCGCGAAGGCCTGCAGCTGCTCCGGGCGCAGGTCCACCAGGAACCTGGGCGGAGGGGCGGTGAGACCGGAGTCTGCGCGCGCGGAGCCCCCACCCCGCGCCACGCGGGCTCACCGGGCCGACTCCACCACCAGGTTCCCTCCGGGGGCCACGCAGGCCGCGAGCTCGGGGCCGAGCAGGTGCACCATGCTGCGAAGAGGGGTGGTGAGCGGCGGCGGGGGGTGCGCGACCCGACGCGACCCGACCCGGCTCTGCCTGCCCTCACCCGCAGGCCACGTAGAGGAGCTGGAAGCGGCCCTGGTAGCAGCCTTTGTGGTGCAGCGCGTGCGCAGATCCGAGGGGCAGAAAGTGCAGCGCGAAGGGTTCTCCTGGGGAGGGCGGCAGGGCGTCACCTCTCCACGGGGCAGCCACCAAAACCCCGACGGCAGAGCCGGGAGACGCACAGGGCGCGGAGAGGGCCTCCCTGACCGCCTCCGGGCCCACCTGCATCTCCCCTGGATTCCTGCAAGAGGCTGGGAAGTCGCCAGCAAGCAGGGACCCAGATTACAGAGGACAACGAGTGAGTGGCCCAGGGCCGCACGGGCGGGCCCTGTGGAGGGGACAGACACCTGGGAGCGACAGGGCAGGGGAGCGGCAGGGCACACCCAAAATCCGGGTGGGGCACGGTGTCCAAGGGGGCACCGGACAGCTCCCTGTGATAAGGAATTTCCGGCCAGCCGGGTGACTGCAGTCTGGGCAACCTGGTGATTAGTGACACCCTGCCTCATAATAACAAACAAAACGGGCCTGGGGATGTAGCTCACTGCGCAGGGCCGGGGTGCGATCCCCAGCTCTGAGAGGGTGGAGAGAATGTTTGCGGCCTGTCAAGCCCAGGCTTTTACAGAATGCTCAGGATGGGGTCAGGATAGGACAGGGAGACCGAAGAGATGAAGAAGCAGGGTATCAAGACGAGGTCCCTGCCCAGGCATCGCAAACCCAAGCGTCCACGCTGGGATTCGAACTCCCCAGAGCCTGGAGACAGGCTTACCGAGTCCATGCTTACCTGAGTCCACATTTACCTGAGTCCACTTTACCTGTGTCCATGCTTACCTGAGCCCACGCTTACCTGTGTCCATGCTTACCCAAGCTGAGTTCCTGCTTACCTGACATCCTCTGCTCGGTGCTGCCCGCGGGCTCCGGGTGCTCCTGCTGCGGGTTCCCCTGCGAGGCTCTCGGGCGCCCCCAGGCGGCCAACTCTCGGAGCACCTCCGTCACGTTGTGCCGCGTGATCTCCCCCGCAGTCTGTGCAGGGGCGAACGCGCGGGACAGACGCTGGGGCTGACCGTACGGTAGGAGGGCGGGGCAGAATGTGGGGGCGGGGCTGGAATTGGAGGCGGGGAGCCCGGGGCGGGGCTTAGCCTGCGGGGCGGGGCCTGGCTCTGACCCAGCGCCTGCACCCGGGCCGCGCACCTTGACCGGCTGCCCGTTCCTGGTCTGCAGCAGGCTCTGGTCGTCCGCCTCAATGCCAAAGGCCACGAAGGGCCCGGTGGCGATGTCCCCCCAGTACCCGCGCGCTGCCACGCGCTCCCCGCGCTGGGAAAACAGGGGAGGGGAAGCAAATGAGGCTGGCGCGGGCCGCGACCCACAGATCCGTCAGAAGCGGCGGGCCGGGCAGGGCGCGGCACCCACGTGGGTCAGGAGCCGGCCGGACGCCAGGGTCCGGTTGGGCACGTGGTAGGCACTGGAGTCTCTGAGTTCGAAGGCGACGCCGGTGTCCCTCCAGCGGCCGAATTCCTGGGTGTGGATGACCTGGGCCTGGGGTCGCGGGGGCGGAAGACAGGTCTGGGCGACCTGACAAGGGGGCCCTGGACCTCCGCTCTCAGACCGGCTCCGGAGCGTGCCTGATTCCGGGGCTCCCCCACTTCGGCCCTCCCCCGACCCGGCGCGCCGGCCCCGTCCCCGCCGGCCCTCACCCCGCGGTCGTGCAACTTCATGCGCAGGTCCCAGTCGCTGACGCCGCGCCGGGCGTCGTAGCGGGAGCCCAGGTAGTGTCGCACGCGCGCGTCCCACAGACGGCCCACGGGGAAGGCCTCCGGGCCGCGCTCCCCGCCGGACCAGAAGCGGAGCACCGCCTCCAGCTGGTCGCGTTCGCGGAACTGCAGCCGCGCGTGGGGACAGCGGAGGCGGGGATGCCGGGGCGCTCCCCTCCCGCCGCCCGCCCCAGCTCGGGGAAGAACCTGAGGCTCCGAGAGCCGAAGCCCCCACCCCACGGTGGGATGGGGCGGGCTTCCGCTCCGCACCCAGCCCCGGGCCTGCGCCGACCGCCCGTCCTCCCCGTCCCACTGCCCCGACGGGAGCCCGCGGGACGCGCGCAGGGGGCACCTTGAGCGCGCAGAGGCGGAGCCAGGGCAGCTCCCGCGCCAGGCGGTCGGGCTCGGGCACCAGGAGCGCCAGGCGGGCGGCCTGCGCGCGCACGAAGGCGGCCACCGGGGCCCGCAGCCGCGAGTTCCCCCACACCTCCAGGAAGGTCTCGCTCCGCTCTGGGGGAGGGCGGGGCAGGGCCGAAGTGGGGGAGCCCGGAATCGGGCACAGTGTGCACGGGAGGAGCCCCAGGAAAACTCCCTCCTAACCAGGTCTCCTCGCCCCGCCCCTCGGGGAACCCCCACCCTGGGTCGCGTGTTTAAAACCTCCCCGGGCTTTAAGATGGCAAAGAGGGCCTGAACTATAGAGACACACAGATGCACCCTTCTAAATGTTATAGCATTAAACTGCTTGATTTTGGTTTTGGTTTTGTCTTTGTGGTACTGGGGATTGGACCCAGGGCCTTTGCACTGAGCTACGTTCTCAGCCCTTATCTATTTTTATTTAAATACTTTGAGATAGGGTTTTGCTAAGTTGCCCAGGCTGAGTTCAAACTTGCCACCCTCCTGCCTTTCAGAATGCTGAGACTATAGGCATGCAGCGCCACACTCCTCTAGCTGTTTAAGAATCCTCTGAGAGAATAGTATGCCTTTACTTGCATCTTACATATGTATACATACACTTACAAGCATGCGTGTGTACTGTGAGACAGACAGATAGACAGATATACATGTACATAGATTTCAGCTATAGAAGAGAACTACGTGGGTTTGGTTAAATAGATACGCTTAGCCTAAAAACCGTAAAGAAGGTGTATTATGCGATGCATGGTGCATGCCCAGCGCAATGACCATTGGTCCTTGTGATAAAATGCAAAAGTTGCTCAAATATATGGAGCTGACATCATACATGACTAGCTATGAATCCTCAGGGGGATTCTATTGGTGGAGGAACTTTTTATTTCCTTACCACACAGAGGATTGAACCCAGGGCCTTCACACTGAGCTTCCCAGCCCCATTTTAAAGGAATACATTTTGTTTTGGGACAGCCGTCTTGCTAAATTGCGCAGGCTGGGTTCGAACTTGTGATCCTCCTACCTCTGCCTCCCAGAGTGCTGGAATCATGGCCTGTATCACCACGCCCCCCCCCGTGGGAACTTTCATGAATGTGGAAATGAGGCCGGGAAAGGGGTAGGTTCCTGTCCCAGGGCACACAGCAAGCAGAGCAGAAATCCAGCTGCTGCCAGGTGAGTTCGAGGCTCTGCTCCAGGCACAAGCTGAAGCTGCCCCCACACAGTGCGGGAACAGGACAGCTCTCCAGAGAGCTCTCCACAGGAACGGCACGGTGCTCAGCTGGTGTCATGTGCTGCTCTGAGGCGTCCTGTGGGTTTTCTCCTAGAATTACCTGGTTCTAAGAGGGACGGCATCGCTTCTCGGCCTTGGGCTAAGATCAAGCGTCTAGGAGGAACGACACTGGGCCTCGTTTTGCAGGTGGGAAAAGCTCAGGATGAAATAGGGGAGCCAGGCGCGCTACTCGGGGAGGCTGAGATAGGATGGCAAGTCTGAGCCCAGCCTGGGAAACTCAGAGACTGAGGGAGACCCTGTCTCAAAATAAAATGCAGAGCCATGCGTGGTGGCGCACGCCTGTAATCCCAGCGCTTGGGAAGCTGAGGCAGGAGGATCCACACAAGTTTGAGGCCAGCCTGAGCTACACAGTGAGTTCAAAACCAGCCTGAACTACACAGTGAGACACTGTCTCAAAAAATAAATACATACATAAATAAGTAGGGGGTGGGGATGCAGCTCAGTGTGAAGGCCCTGGGTTCAATTCCCAGTATTGGGAGAAAGAGGAAGGAAGGAAGGAAGGAAGGAAGGAAGGAAGGAAGGAAGGAAGGAAAAGAAACAACAAAAAACGGATAAATGATCAGTTTTTTGTTTTGCTGTTTTTAGACAGGGTCTCGCTATGTACTTCAGGCTGGCCTTGAACCCACTATGGAGCCCAGACCGGCCTGAACTCTCTGCGATCCTTCTGCCTCAGCCTCCCGAGTGCTGGGATGACAGGCGTGCGCCACCACGCCCCGCGATCGAAGTTTTTATTGTCACCACTGAAAGACCAGAACCCGGTAGGGAGGCTGAGGTGGGGTCAGAATGCGTGGACTGTTCCCACTGACCTTGCAGGCCCATCTTCTCGGGGTCCTCCAGGGCGAGGCTGAAGAGGAGCATGTGTCGGGCCACCGCCTCCAGGTTGTGCTCCAGCATATAGAACTGGAAGGATGGGGTCAGGAGCACCCCAGACCTGCACTCCCGGCCCTCAGGTCCCGCGCGCCGGCCCCTCCTCCACGCAGAGCCCGCGCGCGCGGAGCCCTCCTCCCCATGCTACTGGGACCCTGAGGCCTGGGCCCGACCGCGGTCCTTCCTTCTCCAGGACCTCTTCGGACCCTGGCGTCCAGCCCTTTCCTCGTGGGTCTCATAGGGGTAGAATCCCGCCCCGCCTCCCGCAAGGATCCGGCGGCCGGGTCCTCCCCCGCGCCCCCGCCCCGC